CTTTCTCTTATTTGAAATACTTTTTTTTTTAGATATATATATATATATATATATATATATATATATATATATATATATATACATATACATATGGTTTATATGTGTATAGTTGATTTTTTATGCATGTTATACATATATTACATATTTAGTGAATGTATGATCCTAAGTAGTAGATTTTTCGTTGTTAGTCGATGATTTCATAAAGTGTAATGGTTATGATGAGTCGTTACACTGACTATCGTGTACAATTATTATATTATTTGATTGATATTAATATTAATGAGATATTATTTTGATATACTATTTTTGATATATATTTGTCTAGGAATAATTTATTTATTTATTTATTCATTTTTTGATATATTAATGATTAATAATTATTAAAATATTTAGGTCCAATTTTTTTATATTAATTTTGATATATTTGTTTTAATATAATATATAAATATTGGCATGAATTATTGGATGCAAATTTTATATGTGCAAAATATAGTAGTTATTAGTATTAATTTTTTTTGGATAAATTGATTAATTATGTATTAATTTATTTTATTTGTATAATAACATTTATATAAAAAAAAATTGGAGGAAGAGAGTTTTGGAGGGAAGGTAGTTATTGCATAACTTTTTCATTTATATTATTAATTATATTATTATCTATACCTATTATAATGAGGATACCTTGTTTTCGAGAATATAATTTTTGGACTATGTTGTCCTTAAGTTTTTAAATAATAAAAATATCTATATTTATTATAAAAGGGATATATTGTTTTCATATGCACAATTTTTTAATTATTTTATTCTTAAATTTTAAATAATAAAAATAATACTAAAAATTAATTAGACCCAAGACTCAAATTCGAGACCTTAAAATTCAAAAATTAAATACAATATTAGTTAATTTAATAAATATTAATAATCTTTAAATACCTTTAATCAAATATAAAAACACAAAAATATATCAATCTTATTAATAATAGATAACATATATGGTCAATATTTATTGAATTCACTAGAGTTGTACTTGATCCTTGAAATTCAAGATTTTGAATTTGAGTCATAAATGTGTAAGAATAAATAATTTTTAATATTATTTTTTATTTTAAAATTTAAAAATAAAATAATTCAAAAATACACAAAATCGGAGAATCACTTATATATATATATATATAAATAAATAAATAAATAAATAAATAAATAAATAAATAAATAACGTACACATTAACATGTGCAAGATTATGAGCCACACATTTCAGCTACCCCGGTTGATAACAGAGCCAACACCAGGCATGATTTATAGAAACAAATGATATCTAAGATTCCTTGAACGCTGACTTTAGCTTTTAATTTTATCCTATCCATTGAGATCGAAATAATAGTTTCAATAATATCTAAAATTAATACATAATAGTTAATCATAATATTTATTAGTTTTTGTTCAATTATATAAAAGTGTGGCATTAAGTCCGCTATTGAAAATAATCAATAATTATCTAAAAATAAATTACTATAAGTCATAAATTGTATAACCAAAGTTGAAATTTATTCGGGCCATGTCCTAAAGGCACGGGTCTGTGCTATATAGACTACTCTACATAGTAATAATAATGATAACTTAACCACAATCTACCATTTTCTCAGCAAGTCAGCATTCTTGGTGGAAAACAAAAAACAAACAGAGAAAATGTCTGATAAAGTTGTGAACAGTGATAATCTTCGTGTGGTTATGTTCCCATTCCTAGCATTTGGTCACATTAGTCCATTTGTTCAGCTATCCAACAAGTTATTCTCTCATGGTGTTGCAATCACATTCTTGTCAGCAGCATCCAACGTTCCCAAAATCAGATCAACCCTCAATCTCAATCCAGAAATCAATGTTATCCCTCTAAAGTTCCCAAATGGCATAAGCAGCACTGCTGAGTTGCCACCTCACTTGGCTGGAAACCTCATACACGCACTTGACCAAACTCAGCCTCAGGTGAAGTCCCTATTGTTGGAACTCAAACCCCATTATGTGTTCTTTGACTTTGCACAAAACTGGCTCCCAAAAATAGCTTCTGAAGTTGGCATCAAATCTGTTCACTTCTCAGTCTACTCTGCCATTTCTGATGCTTACATCACTGTGCCTTCAAGACTTGTTGAGGGAAGAGACATCACTTTTGAGGATCTTAAGACCCCCCCACCAGGGTTCCCTCAAAATTCCAACATTTCCCTCAAGGCCTTTGAGGCCTTGGACTTCATGTTTCTCTTTAGAAGGTTTGGTGAAAACCTCACTGGCTATGAGAGAGTGTTGCAAAGCCTTGGTGAGTGCTCATTCATAGTGTTTAAAACATGCAAGGAAATAGAAGGGCCTTACTTGGACTACATAGAAACTCAATTTGCAAAACCGGTTTTGTTGTCTGGTCCACTAGTCCCTGAGCCATCAAGGGATGTGCTAGAGGAAAGGTGGTCCAAATGGTTGGACACTTTTCCTGCCAAATCTGTCATACTATGCTCCTTTGGTAGTGAGACTTTTCTGAGTGATGATCAAATCAAAGAACTAGCCACAGGGTTGGAACTCACTGGCTTACCTTTCATTTTGGTTCTCAATTTTCCTTCTGATCTCTCTGCGCAAGATGAGTTGGAGAGAGCATTGCCAAAAGGGTTCTTGGAGAGAGTGAAGAATAGGGGAGTTGTGCATACTGGTTGGTTTCAGCAGCAGCTTATACTGAAACATTCTAGTGTTGGATGCTATGTGTGCCATGCTGGCTTTAGTTCTGTGATAGAGGCTATGGTCAATGAGTGTCAACTGGTGCTGTTGCCTTTCAAGGGTGACCAGTTTTTCAATTCTAAGCTTGTGGCTAAGGATTTGAATGTAGGGATTGAGGTGAATAGGAGAGATGAAGATGGGTACTTTCACAAGGAGGATATACTCAATGCATTGAAAACTATCATGGTGGAGGATCACAAAGAGCCAGGGAAGCATATAAGAGAAAACCACATGAAATGGAGCAAATTTTTGTTAAATAAGGAAATTCAGGACAAATTTATCACTGATCTGGTTGCTCAGTTGAAGTCTATGGCATAGTTCACGATCTGGTCTGACTCTCTGATTTGGTGACTGCACCAAATTCATTTCCTTAGTGTAGTTTTTCCAATGGAAAATAAAGTCTGCTAAGACTAAAATGTATCAGTTGAAATCGTCAGATTTTCATGTATCAATTCTGATTTGTGATATCAGTCTGTTATTCTTGTGTTTTTGTGTTCCCTTTGTAGTATTTAATATCTCTCTCCTTTCTCAAGTCTACTCTGAAGTTGTAATAAGACCAATTAATACACGAAATTTCTCAACATGCAGGTGGGAAATTCATCTTTAAGTAGTTACAAACTGCTTGTATGTAATTTCAGATTATTGCATTCATACTGATTGTGGTTAAAAGAAATTGAATGGATTGCTTAATTGAAATGAAGGTGCGCATTGTATGAAATAAGTATGGTTTTGATCATAGGTGACCACTTAGTTGTAAGATCTGCAGTAGGGATTTTCAATATGGGCCTTGTCTAGTGTCTCAATGGAAATTGAAGTACTTAAAAGAGTTGGTTCATCTTATTAAATAAATAATAAAACAAATGAGTTGGTTCACACTTTTTTTTCTTTTTCCCCATTTTTTCTACCCTCCATTTATTTCTCTTTTCTACAGTACGCGCAGCATTAAGAATTAACTACATTGTCCGTAAAACAGGTTGTGCTACTTCTCCTCAACCACAGGGTGAGTTTACGTAACTGAAAAGCAACACCACATTTAAGTTAACTTTTTTACATTAAAAAGTGGAAAAAGTCCGTTCAATGGTTGTTGAAAGATTTTTCAAACACAGTGATATTAAGGTAGATATGCAATTTCAAATTATGAAGTCAAAATAACTTACTACTAACATACAGCATAAATCAACATTTATAGTAGTGTTTTCTTACTACTAATTCACAATCTAATGACCTCCAGTTTCTCTAACACTAGCAAATATGAATTTTTGTCATTACTGAATCACCAATTTGAATTCCGATATGTAATCTTGAAGAAGAAAAAAATAATTAATCATGCGCCCCAATTGAGTACCCCATTTATATAGATCAGAATAACAAGGGCAAATAAAAACAGTTACTGTGATACAGTCATACAGCATATCTGCTTTGACTCCATTGAATTTGAATCCAACTTCACACCATCAAACAATGAACAGTTTAATAGAAGTGAACATAAAACTATACATTATTGCTGTTGCACCAATACCGTATATGAATCTTCCTTGTCCAAATCCTATGCTTCTTTTAGCAACTGGTGGCAATATGATTTTTTTCTTGCTATAAGGATCAGTGAATCAAACATCCTCCATGCCACTTTCCCTTTCCCTGTTTGAATGTATGGCTTGCAATTTGTAAAGAGGTTAAAGAATCCAGACATGTAACCACTGCAGGGTTCCATTTATTATCAAAAGGATTAAACCCTAATATTGGTCCCTGAAGCTATCATATTTGTTGGAAATATTTTGTGAAAAATATAGAAAAATTGGATCTTGTAGACAAATTGCAATTAAAATTGAAAATGGAAAGTTATGATTAAAATTATCATAAAAATTCATAGAAGAGAATGTTTATGTATAGACTTACAATTAATTTAAAATTCATAACAAACATCATCCACTAACAACTCTACTTGTTGAGATTCTATTGAATAACTGAAAACAAAATATAAAAGATAAAATCATAACAATAACAAATAATCTATCTAAAATTTATTCAAAATTTAAATAAAGGAAAATCTTATAAATTTAACACTGCTCCTTGAGATTTGTCATGAACATCATAAATTTTAGTTTCATGAACTCCAAAACTTGATTTCTGAAGTGCCATGTCATCAAGTTGTTGCACATCAATTTCTTGACCTAAATCATTGGCTTTATAGTCATTCAATTTAACTCCTCTTCGTGTCTTAAATTACCATTTGCTCGGATTTGTCATATCAAATACATCTTGCATAAAAGTGTGACCAAATCTGTCAGCCACGTTTTTGACTTAGTCTTTTTAGTTATTTGTTAATAAACCTTATCCCCTAGGAATAGGATGCTTAGTTTTTCTGTTCCGTAAAATTAGCCATGTTGCAGTTATGCTCTGTTTACATTGGTTTTCTTTTTTTTTTTTCCGTATTGGTTATTGTATTGGCTATATAAAGCCATTTACTTCACTGAATAAAATAAGCTTTATAGCTACAGCTGCGTCTTGATATCATTTTATTCTAAACACTGGTATCAGAGCCCACACACGGGCCTGATACATTAGCAAAACACGAGAGAAAAGAGGTGAGTGAAACATATGGCTGACGGCAATAGCTTCCTCAGTATTCCAAAGTTTGATGGAGACTATGATCACTGGTCCATGCTAATGGAAAATTTGCTGAGATCCAAAGAATACTGGAGCGTGGTGGAGCAAGGCTATGAAGAACCCAAAATACTAGAGTCACTCACAGGAGCAGAACGTAAAACTTTGGAAACGCAGAAACTGAACGATCTACGAGCAAAGAACTATCTGTTTCAATCCATCGACAAGAATATTTTGAAAACTATCACCAACAAAGCTACCTCCAAAGCACTTTGGGATTCAATGAAGCAAAAGTATCAAGGGAATGCTCGAGTTCAACGCGCACAACTTCAACGGCTTCGAAGGGAGTTTGAAATTCTAGAAATGCAAAACGGTGAGTGCGTGAATGATTACATCTCTAGAGTCATGATCATTGCAAATGACATGAGAGGAGCAGGAGAGGCCATGGAGGATGGGCATATTGTTGAAAAGATTTTGCGTACATTATCTGACAAATACAATTATATTGTATGCTCAATCGAAGAATCCAAGGACATCAATGAAATGATGGTAGATGAGTTGCAGAGTTCATTGCTTATACATGAACACAAGATAAAAAGGCAGGAAATGACTGAACAAGCATTGAAGGTCACAGGAGACTACTCAGCCCCACGAGTTACTGAACATCTCAGTAGCAGAGGCAGAGGGCGGGGAGGATATCGAGGCAGAGGAAGAGGCAGAGGTAGAGGTAGAGCTTTTGACAAATCCACAGTTGAGTGTTATCGATGTCGCAAGCTGGGACATTTTCAATATGAATGTCCCACCTATGCTAACTATGCAGAAGACACAGAGTTGGATGACGAACAGGAGATGTTGCTTATGTCATATGTGGAAATGCAAGGAGATAAACGAGATGAAATATGGTTTCTGGACTCTGGATGCAGCAATCACATGAGTGGAGACAGGAAATGGTTCACTGAGCTTGATCAATCATTCAGACATAGTGTTAAGCTAGGAAATGACTTCAAATTGAATGTCATGGGAAAAGGCAATGTTCGAATGAAATTAGGAGGACGAACTGTGACTATCACAGAGGTATTTTACACTCCTGATCTCAAATCAAATTTGCTTAGCATTGGTCAGCTTCAAGAACGAAATTTGTCTATACTAATTAAGAATGGATGTTGTAGCATTTATCATGATACTGAAGGTTTGATTATACGAACTACGATATCTGCAAATCGTATGTTTGTGCTTACGGCATCTATTCCTGTTGTTGATACTAATATATCAAAGGCAGCATGTTTAAATGTAACTTCTGAAAATATCACAAGCTTGTGGCATCAGAGGTTTGGTCATCTTAACATGAAAGGACTGCGGACTCTTGCCTATAGAAAGATGGTTCAAGGCCTGCCAATATTGAAGAATCAATTCAAGTTGTGCACCATATGCATGACTGGAAAACAACAACGACATTCCTTTCCACAGAAAAGCACTTGGAGAGCATCTAAACCACTACAACTCATTCATTCAGATATATGTGGTCCAATTACTCCTGAATCTCACAGTCATAAAAGGTATATCCTTACCTTTATAGATGATTATAGTCGAAAAATGTGGTCTTATTTCTTACATGCCAAGTCTGAAGCCTTTGATACATTCAAAAGGTTTAAATCATTGATTGAGAAAGCAACAGGATACTACATAACCTGTTTGCGCACTGATAGAGGAGGAGAGTTCACCTCATCAGAATTCAATGATTATTGTAGCAGTAATGGAATCACAAGACAACTCACGACACCTTACTCACCACAACAGAATGGAGTGGCAGAAAGAAGAAACCGAACCTTGATGAATATGGTGAGATGCATGCTGACAGCACGAGATGTTCCAAAGGAGTATTGGCCTGAAGCAGCAAACCTGGCCACTCATATTCTGAATAGATGCCCAACCTCAGTCCTGCCAAACATGACACCAGAAGAAGCTTGGAAAGAGAGAAAACCATCAGTCACACACCTCAAGGTGTTTGGATGCATAGGATATGTTCACGTTCCTGATGTTACAAGGAAGAAGCTGGATGAGAAAAGCATCAAGTGTGTATATGTGGGAGTCAGTGAAGAGTCCAAAGCTTTCCGAATGTATAATCCAGAAACAAAGAAGATTATCATTAGCCGAGATGTAGTTTTTGATGAAATGGAAAAGTGGGACTGGAAGAAGTCAGAAGGAGCTAATTCTCTTGAACTTATGTGTGAAGAAGAGGAAGAAAATAAGGGAAATAAAGATTCAGCAGTGACGAATCAAGAAGATAATGAGAGTGCAGAAGAAACTACAGAAAATGAGAGAATCAAAGTGATAGAAGAAGGAAGAAGAAGTGAAGAAGTACTAGTCTTCAAGTAATCTCCTGGCCATAGCTCTAGTGGTTGGGCCTTTGGCCCATGCTCTTCCATCACAAAGTCCCAGAAAGAAGAAGACAGCCACCAGTATGGATGAGAGACTATGAGTCTGGAGCCGGACTGTCAGAAGAAGAAGACGAAGAAGCAATGGCACAGGAAGTGGAACAACTCACCCAAGAGATGCAGCAGCTCGCCATGTTCACATCATATGATTTCATTGATCCCACCACCTTTGAGGAAGCAGCTAAAACTCAGGTATGGAGGGATGCAATGGAGAATGAGATTGCAGCGATTAACAAAAATGGAACATGGGAACTAACAACTTTACCGACAGGAGCAAAGAAGATTGGTGTGAAGTGGGTATTTAAGACCAAGATAAACGAAAAAGGAGAAGTAGACAAATATAAGGCTCGTCTTGTAGCAAAAGGGTATGCTCAAGAAGCTGGAATTGATTATTTTGAAGTATTTGCACCTGTGGCAAGATGGGATACCATTCGGCTAACCTTGTCCATTGCAGCCAGTCAAGGATGGACGGTTTATCAACTAGATGTCAAGAGTGCATTTCTACACGGAGAGTTAGTAGAAGAAGTGTATGTGGAACAACCAAAGGGATATGAGGTAATCGGTGAAGAAGACAAAGTGTACAAGTTGAAGAAAGCTCTCTATGGGCTGAAACAGGCACCTAGAGCATGGTTCAGCAAGATAGAATCATACTTCCTCAAGGAAGGTTTTGAAAGAAGCACGAGTGATCACGCTTTGTTTACAAAGAAAGAAGGAGGAATAAACGTTCTTATTGTGAACCTGTATGTAGATGACCTCATCTTTACAGGAAATAGTGAAAAAATGTTCCAAGAATTCAGGAACTCAATGAAAAAGGAATTTGAGATGACCGATCTGGGCAGGATGAGATATTTTCTAGGTGTGGAAGTCACACATACCTCAAATGGTATTTTCATTTGCCAAAGAAAGTATGCTAATCAAATACTGGAAAGATTTGGTTTTCAAAACTGCTCAGCTGTGAAAAATCCAATCGTTCCAGGGTGTAAGCTCACAAAGGATGCTGGAGGATTAAAGGTTGATGCTACCACATATAAGCAAATGGTGGGAAGCCTTATGTATTTAACTGTCACTAGGCCAGACTTAATGTATAGTGTAAGTCTAGTGGCTCGTTTCATGAAAGCACCAACTGCTATGCATCAACAAGCAATAAAAAGGGTCTTACGCTATTTGAGAGGAACTATTCAACTGGGTTTGTTTTACAAATGAGAAGGAGGAGAAAAGTTGGTAGCGTTTTGTGATAGTGACTATGCCGGAGACTGTGATGACCGAAGGAGTACCTCAGGGTATGTTTTTAAGATGTCAAATGGATTAGTTGCTTGGAGTTCTAAGAAGCAACCTGTGGTATCACTGTCCACCACCGAAGCTGAATATATCTCTGCGGCAGCTTGTGCTACTCAGAGTATTTGGATGATGCGTGTACTTAAGAATTTGGGGATTAAGCAAAATAAATGTATTATTTTCTGTGATAACAGCTCAACAATTAAACTCTCAAAGAATCCAGTCATGCATGATCGAAGTAAGCATATTCATGTTCGATTTCATTTTCTTCGGGAGTTGACAAATCAAGGAGAAGTTGAATTAGTACACTGTGGAACTAAGGATCAACTAGCTGACATCATGACCAAAGCCTTGAGACTAGAAGCATTCGTGCAATTAAGAGAAAGACTTGGTATATGCCATATTGAGGAGATAAACTGACTATATTTATGAAAATAACAGTTCAGTTTAAGGGAGGAATGTCAGCCACATTTTTGACTTAGTCTTTTTAGTTATTTGTTAATAAACCTTATCCCCTAGGAATAGGATGCTTAGCTTTTCTGTTTCGTAAAATTAGCCATGTTGCAGTTATGCTCTGTTTACATTGGTTTTTTTTTTTTTTTTTCTGTATTGGTTATTGTATTGGCTATATAAAGCCATTTACTTCACTGAATAAAATAAGCTTTATAGCTACAGCTGCGTCTTGATATCATTTTATTCTAAACACAATCTTCTATGCCAAACATTACTCTCATTAATTTTTGCAATAAAATCATGACCTTCAACTAAATTAAATTTCAAATAAAAAATATTTTTGGTCATCTCGATCTTTGCAATCTCTAAACCATGTTCATCCATATAAAACAATAATTCTTTTTAAAAGAGACTCCATATCCATTCCTTAATATTTGTGGAATACTAAGGAGATTTTGCTCCAATTCTAGAATGTAAAGAACATCTTTGACAATTATGATACCTTTTTTGGTTTGAGTTAGAAATTGTTCCTTTTCCATTGGCTTGCGCAATTTCACCATTTCCCATCTTGACTTTTGATTCAATTGATTTTTCAATGGAGGTAAAAAATGATAAACATTTATTCATGTGACTAGTGCAACCACTGTCAATTAGTAGGTATTCAATTCATGTGAATTGAATTCTTGAGATGCATGATGTAGGAAGTTAATAAGGAAGCCACGTGGTTACCAATCAATTTAATTTTGATAATTTTGTTATTGTTGGGATACAAACAAGTCCCACATCGATAAAATATGATAAAAAATAACAACTTATATAGCATAAACATACTTCAATGATCTTGATGGAGTAGGTAAGTGAAGTGAAGAGTTGTGCTTCCTTTGCCTTCTCCAATGATCACAGATCTTTGCTCCTTGATGAATTCCGGAATGAGATTGATTTAGAAGATGAGAGAAAAGTGTTTCCTAGACTAGGATGGAAGCATCCAAGCAAGAGAAACAAATAAGAAAGCTCACGGCCAAGCTAGGAGAGTAGATTTTCCTAATGCTAAGGCTTAGAGTTTGGTGACTTTGGAAGAGAACTTTGGCTGAAGTAAATTCAGAAAATTCTCATATATCTTCAAAAGTGATTACATAAGGGTGAAGGTGTCAATATATAGTCCAAATAAGCAAGCTAGTGGCGCCTAAATTCAAATGTCCATCTTTGGCGCCAATATTTGAATTTCAAATGGCATTTGAAATTCAAATTTTGGTGTATCATGTGCACATCCGAAATTTATGGCAACTAGCATCATCTAAGTTGCATTTGAGACTCATTTGATGTGTATTTAGGGTGCACATGTTCATCTCATACAAGCTTAAAACATGTGACCTAAATTCATGCCAAATGACATCTTAATGAAACTTAGATTTAGCCTAAACGACTTAATATTGAAAACCTTCTAAATTCCTAATCTAATGGCCTAAATACAATGGCCAATCAAATACAATATAAAGGAAAAATTACAAGGATTAAAATGAGCCCAATATTGGGTACCAAAAGCCCAAAGGCCCATGAAGCCCAAAACTAGACCCAATAAGCCTATGGCCCAAAAATGCTACTCTATGTGGTCCAAAATACAAGACCAAAATATATGGAACCTATACTAACAAAACATAAGAACAAAATGGTTATAACAAGATAGGCCCATGTAAAGCTCAACTTGGGCCTTCCAAGCCCATCAGGCCCATCGGGCCTTGACTGGCCCAACCCTTCATGTCTAGCCAACTCCTCTTGGCTCTTTCAATGTGTCACCCCTTGCCTTCCTAGGCATGATTCCATCAGATCTAGAGGCCTTTTGGGTAATGACCAAAAGCAAAACCGTGAGGGCTAAGGCCCAAAGCGGACAATATCTCATCATTGTGGAGTATGTTTGTGTAATAACCTTATAAAAAATAATACACATAAAATCTCCCCTCAGACAAACACCATAAAATAACCCCATCATTGGTATTTGAGCTAAGGTTACGATCTTGGAGATGGAAGCAGAAACAAACTTTTCACAAATTTCCCCACCTATTTTTGATGGAGAAAGTTATGATCTTTGGGCGGTGAGAATGGAGGCATACCTAGAAGCTTTAGATCTTTGGGAAGCCGTAGAAGAAGATTATGATGTTTCGCGTTACCAGACAATCCTACCGTAGCCCAAATGAAAATTCACAAGGAAAAGAAAATCAAGAAGGCAAAGACAAAAAGTTGTCTCTTTGCCTGTGTTTCACAAAATGTTTTCACCAGGATCATGACTCTCAAATCGGCAAAAACAATTTGGGATTATCTAAAGGAAGGATATGCTGGAGATGAAAGGATTCGAAGCATGCAAGTATTAAATTTAATGAGAGAATTTGAAATACAAAAAATGAAGGAGACAGGAACAATCAAACATTACTCTGACAAACTGCTTGGCATTGCTAATAAGGTACGATTACTAGGAACGCAATTTCTTGATTCTAGAATTGTTGAAAAAATTCTAGTAACTATACCTGAAAGATATGAAGCTTCAATAGCGGCCTTGGAGAACACAAAGGATCTGAGTAAGATCACTTTGGCAGAGGTGTTACATGCATTGCAAGCATTAGAACAAAGGAGGCTTATGAGAGAAGAAGGATCTGTGGAGGGTGTATATTTAGCCAAATGGAAGAACAACAATGGTGACAAAAACAAGAAGAAGGAATTGTTTCAAGAGAACCGTCAAAATAATAAATTTTTCTACCATGTCCTTATTGCAAAAAGACTAATCATCCACAACAGAAATGTTGGTGGAGACCTGATTTAAAATGTGACAAGTGTGGACAATTAGGACACCTAAAATATGTGTGCAAATCTCATGAGCAACAAGAAGAAGCCAACATTGTTGAAGATCAACAAGAAGAGGAAGAAGAACAACTACTTTCAATGTCATGCTTTATGACCAAAAAACCTTCAAAAGCTTGGATTATTGATAGTGGTTGTACAAACCATATGACTTATGACCGAGAACTCTTCAAATAACTCAACAAAACTGATATCTCTAAAGTCCAAACGGGGAATGGAGCACACCTTACAATAAAAGGCAAAGGAACAGTGGTTATTAAAAGTCATTCATGTTTGAAATTAATATCTAACGTTTTATATGTTCCTGATATTAATCAAAATTTGTTGAGTGTTGCTCAGTTGTTAGGAAAAGGCTATAAAGTGTTATTTGAAGATAAAAATTGTGTGATTAAAGATATACACAACAAAGAAGTATTTAATGTCCATATGAAAGGTAAGAGTTTTGCTTTAAATTTGGAGAAGGAGGAATCAATTATAAATGAAGACACAAGTGAAGAGCACAAAGATGCATATCTTCAAAAGAAGTTTGATGATCAAGAGGAGAATGAAGATGATGAAAAACCACCTTCAAAAGAGAAGTTCAAGACAAATGCTAAAGTGGTCCCACTCAAGAAGGATTGCAACAAAAATCACAAAAAGAAGAAACTGTTCAAAAAGAGAAAAGGCATATCTTGAAATTCAAATTAGGTGATAAAGATATTCAGTCAAGGAGGAATGTTGGGAATATGCCTAAATATCTTTAGAAGAATAAATTAGTTTTTTGATAAGAATATTTTATTTATATTTCAAATATTTAAATTTAATCTGTTTTGATTATTTTAGGATTTGTTATTCCTTATTTTTAGAATAGGATAATATCAATATTTGATTTTGTATAACAAATTTTCTCTATAAATAGAGACTCGTGAATAAAATTATATTATGCTCCTCTGATAAAAAATAAGTCTTATAAAATATCCTCTCAAACAAATACTATACAATAACATCATCAGTTATGATTTCCATTTTTTGCGTTGTTGGTTGTTATAGTTAGTTGGTGCAATGCACCTCTATAAATAATTAGCTCTAAACCGAGCTCGAGGATTTTTAAAAAACAATTTCTTGTAATCCTTCTCTCAATTCGATGTACAATTCTTCAGATTCTATTCTTCAGATTCTATTCTTCTATTGGAATTCCTAAAGTTTTGTAGTTCTTCGAATAGTCCCTATTCCTAGAACTACCTTCATCAATGCCATAAATAAATACTCATCTTTATCATCAATTTTTTTTCTTCAATCACGTTTGCCTGTTTTTCCTAATTGTTGTTCAAGTTGGTTCTTCTTTAATTTGTAATATGACCATTTTTATTGCAAAAATTACAATGAAAAAGGGGTTTATCTTTAAACCAATAATCTTTTTCAACATGGTTGGTTCTTTGGCAATGAGAGCAAGGCAAAAAAGTTCATTTTCTCGAAGAACGTTCAACTTTTCTTTTGTTCTTATTGAAAGTTTGTGATTTTCCAAAATTCATTTCATTGTGCTTTACTCAAAAGGCACCTTCAATAGCTTTATCACTTCTAATGGAGACTCTTTTCTCTTGTGCTTGACGCTTGCTGGTCAATTCAATAATTGTAAGAGTTTGCAAATTGCAAGACTCTTCAATTACAGAAATCTTGACTTCAGATTTTTAGGCATGAAACCATTATTTTTTCGACAACCTTACATTTGGTTTACAACATCCATTAACCTGCTAGAATAATCTTTGATAGATTCATTATCCTTTATGTTCATCAATTCAAATTCTCTCTTCAATGTGAGAAGCCTAACATATTTGACTTTGTTATTGTCTTCAAATTCATCTTGAATCTTGTTCACACCTGTTTAAGTGTTCCCAAGTTCATGATTTTAGTAGAAAATATGATTTGCAAGTCCTGCATGACAGGCAAGTGATAGGCTTTATCTTATTTTAGTCCCTCCTCCTCATAAGCTTTGATTTGTGCAATGGTTGGATTTTCTCTCAATAATGGTGGATTAGCTTCAGAAATTACAACGTTCCATAAACCTTGAGATCGTAAAACAAATTTCATCTTGACGGCTCAAATATGATAATTTTTACCATTAAACATTGGAATTGCAGGTGAATTGGTGGAAGTAGACATTCTTGCACCAAAAATTATTTGAACAATAAATCACTCAATTTAACACTCAACCTTATTGTGTTTATCGCTCAATAAAAATTTTCCTCAACCCGTAGGAAGCAAGCTCTTGATATTGCTATTGGAAATATTTTGTGAAAAATATAGAAAAATTGGAACTTGCAGGAAAATTGAAATTAAAATTGAAGATGGAAAATTATCATAAAAATTCATAGAAGAGGATGCTATGTATTGGCTTACAATGAATTTAAAATTTCTAATAAATCTCATCTACTAACAACTCTACTTGTTGAAATTCTATAGAATAACTGAAAACAAAATATAAAAGATAAAATCATAACAATAACAAATAATTTATATAAAATTTATTCAAAATTCAAAATTTAAATAAAGAAAAATCTCATAAATAGAACAATATTAGTTCCTAAAACTCAAAAATTGTTAAATACGTTCCTAAAAGTGTAAATTTACAATCATATTAGTTTGAAACTTAAAAAATGTGTGATTAAAGTGATAATACAGATATACATTTAAGGACCAAAATGACTATAAATAATTAAATTTAAGGACTTATTTGACATTTTAAGAATTTATTTGTCAATTTCTTAGTCTGAGAGGCTTATATGACAGTATCTTCCGAATTTAGGGATAAAAATGAGTGTACCTTATCAAAAGGCACCTCATGTGGACTGTTTGTGAACTCTATCTCCTGTAGATCAGAACAATATGTATGTTTCATTCCCCTTGCCATTGACTATTGAGAAACAAAGCTCAAAAGCGAAAGAATATTGGTTGCCATTGATGAGAACAATGGGACTAAAAACTGTAGTGTAGTTATCACAAGGTGCAATATCATGACAAAGAACTTTGTTACGAAACCACAAAGAAATAGAAGGTCCATTGCTTTGATGATCGAACCTCTCTGTAATCCTTCCTCCTCGCAAATGAAACAAAGTGTTTCCAGCCTCATGTAGTTTCTGTTATTCATAAAGATTTCATAAGTTTAGCATCATTAAGTACATTATATATAAATCAAGTATATTAAAAACAAGACAAAACCTGATATAGGAACATGCTTATACTGGAGGAAGTCAAGGATACACAGTTTGTTGCAAGGAAATATTTTAAGTTTGGTGGAATCCCTCTAATTTCCCGAAGATGCTTGCAATTTCTCACATCAAGCCTCTGTAAAAGTTGACATTGTTTGATGCATTCAGGAATGACTGTGAAATTATTGTTGGATAGGTCTAGTTGATTCACATAAGCAAGCCTCGTGAAACCTATTGAAAAAAAATCATCATCCAAATTGCATTTTGAGGCCCGAAGATATTCTACCTTTGAAGATACTATTGAACCCACTTTTTCTTCACCCTCTTCTTGTTCTAGCCATTGCCACCCTTTCAATCCGGAAGCCGAAATTGTAGTCAGTTCTGGCATCATGACAATGCTACTTGGTAACCGAACAATTTCATTGTTTGTCATGCATAATCCTCGGAGTCCAATGAGATTTTGAAATGAAAGTGGCAATTCTTTTATTGGAGTGTGTAGTAAATTAAGTTCCCTCATGTTTTCCATCTTTCCCAATATTTCTGGAAAATTCCCGAGACTAGAACAAAATGAAAGTTCAAGTTTTTCAAGAGAGGTCAACTTGATAGGTGGAAAACTCCTAAGCTTGCGGCATCCAACAGCACTCAATGTTTTAAGTTTATGCAGAAAGCCAATTGAATTGTGAACTGTAATCAAATTCTGACAACGTTGAAATGAGAGTTCACTCAAATTTGGGAGACCATATAGGTCAGGTATCCGTGTTAAATGTTTGCACCAATCAAAATTCAAAACACTTAGACTGACAAACTTCTGCAAAGAAAATAAACAGGGAAAAATGAGTATTATTGGGAAAAATCTAAATTACACATTAACTAAAAATAAGACAATTAAAGAATATATAAATGGAAGACAATTCTTATCTTACAAATCAGTTTTGTAAGATTGAGTTAGACTCGTAACCCATATTCTAAGAAGTATAGATGAATAATTTTAAAGCGAATATATAAGACAATGAAAATGTAGTCTTTAAACTTACCTTTGAGAAGCGATCAAACTCAAATGACGTAAAGTAACTATCAGGTAACTTGCATATGGCAAGTTCCTTTGGATGAAAATCAGATGGTAAACAATGCGAAGGGTATTTCCACCATTCCAGTACTCTCAAACTGTTTGGAAGATATTTGGGACCTTCAGAAAAATTTCCATTTCTGATAACAAGTATTTTAAGGTTATTCATTTTCTTGAAAGCATTTCCATTCCATTCTACTATTTCTTCTTTGCCCAATATGGGAGAATCCAGGCATATGATTTCGATTTCACTAGTTCCCTAATGCAAAACGGCAAATATAAATCAACCACAATACAAGTATATATGTAAGACATCAATATATGTGTTTAGAGAATTTGCGTATTATAAAGGAAAAACGAAAGACAGCTATGATTTGAACATATGAATATGACGGTCAAACAAGATAAATCAAGATAACAACCCAAACCATTCACGAGTATCACTCACCGTGTTGTCTTTTAAAACTTGAATTATATCTTTCCATAACCATAATCTCCTGTGCTTCCCTGGCTCTTTCGGTGATTCTTTTCGGTCAATTTCTCGACCCATGTCTTGAATCAAGTCATGTAATTTAATTGTACCATATTGACTAACCTTTATGAGAGATTTTTCAATCAACACCCCAACATGATATTTCATGCAGTCACCATAAAGAGCACGAAGTATATCTTCAACCTCTGTCAATTTATATTCTTTGAAGCAACAAGCAATGTCAAGAAAAACACTCTTCTCTTCTTCCTCCAAAGCATCAAAGCTTACTTTAAGTTTCTCTAGGATTTGATTATTGGGAATTCTTTTATATTGATTGATAGCAGATCTCCATTCTTTAATACTTTTTCCAAACAAGTTGGACCCTATTATTTCCAAAGCCAATGGAAGGCCAGAAGCATAAGTTACTACACAATTCAATACCTCTTCATAACTTGGATCTACTATTTCCGTTTTAAAACCTTTCCATGTAAGTAATTGAAGAGCATTGTTCTTATTCAATTCCTTTACCTCATATGTTGTTTTGACCTCATGAGATGCTAGCAGTTGTTTGTCCCTAGTGGTGATGATGACTCTGCTGCCAGGACCAAACCAATAAGGTTTGAAAGCCTCCAATTGCTGGTGATTATCAACATCATCTAGAATCAAGAGAACCTTCTTTTGCTGGAGCCTATGCTGCATCATTGAAGTTATTTTTTCCACACTTGCTGAGTTGATTTTCTTATCTCTAAGAATTTCCGAAACAAGGATGCTTTGGAGATGCTTTAACCCATGTTTGTTTGATTTTTCTCTCACGTTTTCAAGAAAACATGAACCATCAAAATCGTCAGCGATGGAATTGTAAACTGCTCGAGCAAGTGTTGATTTTCCTATCCCACCAATTCCATGGATCCCTATCATGTGGACACTATTATCAAATTCAACAGCCAAAAGCTTCTTTACTTCTAAAACTTGTGAATCTAGTCCAACGGGGTAATCCGCAATAGGTAAAGAAGCACGATTAATCTTGCTAGAGACCAACTCAACAATCCTCTCAATAAACTGGTACTCATATCCATCTCTGTTTCAAACAGGAAAGTTTTAATGAAGTTGGACTAAAAGCTTCATATCAAGGTTAACAAACATTTCTTTTCTTTTTAAATTTTAAGACTCAAATCAAATCTTTGGATAAGTGAAACATAGGGTCTGTTTGGATAAGTTTTTCCACAAGCTAAAATTAACCTATACATAAGTTAAAAATAAGACTTTGGAAAAGCTAATAGAAGAGAGTTTCTACAAATTAACTTAAGTATAAACTAATTTTAACTTACGGAGAAATTTATTTCATTTTTCCATCTATTTTGTTGTTTTTATGTATAACAACAAATATAAATTGAGTGTAGTGGGTAAAGAAAATGAAGAGGAAATTGTATTTGCAGATGGCATATTTTATTCAATTGTGCACTACCATATTTATAAAACATAAGGAAAATGTAATTGCTAACAATATAAATAAACCACAAGTAAATTATGCCAAAGAATAGGAAAAGAAGATTCATACTATCAATTAACATGAATTTTATTTTTCATAAATTCTAATCTTCTGCAGTTTTAGATTGTTAGGCTTCCAAGAGTCACATCTTCAACATATTTTACTTTCTTAGAAGTGTTTTGGGATAAGTTTACGCAAACAAGCCTTAATACAACCAAAAAAAAAAATAAGTTGAAAAGATTGGTAAGGAGGGGGTACCCATATTTGAAATGAAAGCCAGACAAGTTAGCTACTTGATGCAAAGCCATCTTCCATTTCTGCAACTTCTCCATGTTATGCTCGAACCTTTCCTCATGCTTAGCTAATGCTTCTCCATAACTACTTTTCTGGTATCGTACATCAGAAGGATCAACGTTATAAAAGACAGGTAAAACCAACAGATCTTTTCTATTAAGGCACTCAACGATGTAGGTAAGTTCATCTAAGCAAAATGAGGAAGAAGCATAGTTGTTAGAGAGCACAATGATGGCAATCTTGGACTTTTCAATTGCGCTTTGAAGTGCTGGTGTTATTTCCTCTCCTCTCTGAAGCTCCTCATCATCAATGAAAGTGTGGATTCCCCTGTCATGAAGGGCTTTGTAGAGATTGCCAGTAAAACCGTGGCGTGTGTCTGAGCCTCTGAAGTTGAGAAACACATCATAGGCTAATGCATCGAGACATGATCTTACAGCCATGAGAAGAAAGCGCAGTATGATTATGGATGGTGCACTTGTTGGTTTTTCTTTGTCTCTGAAGAAGTTATATCAAGGAAACGTGAGAACTGAGAAGAAAGGTTCTACGTTGGAAACTTGGACATGTTCAACGTTAGATGATCTTTTACAGCCATGAGAAGAAAAACTTCTACAGACATGTTCTAGATGATATAAAATTATAAACCTTTGGAATTTAAAATATCTCTTTTCTCTCTTTCCTACGTCATTGTGTGAATGCATCTTTAGGAAAAATGGAAAATATCTCGTGTTCATCATGTGGTGGTCTACCAGCAGCCATTAAGATATGTCTTCACATTTGATAATTTATTTGACTTTTGGCTAGATTGAGTTTCACTCATCAAATAATAAATTATTAATCTATTTTCACAAACAGAATTTTCATCATTATAACTGAACTAATTTACAGCTGTACATACACTGAATTCTAAGAATTCTAATAGCCTCTTATGTCGGCCAATTGGTTCTCATAATTTCTTTAACTCAATCAACTAGACAGACTCAATCTTTCTTGACTTTTTAAATCTCATTAGCATCCATTTTTTATGTATCCTCAGGAGGTCGAGTAGGAGGTCATCTTCACCCTTTGGTCAGTTAGACTGAACAATGTAATCAAGATGATCACTATCATCCATTCTAGTTCGAAAGCCTTGAATGAACAAGTGGAACTAGAAATCTGTTTGGATATTAGAAATTTTTTTTTTTTTTTCAATAAAGAAGCTTTTAGAAACTCTTCTAAGTTTATATCCAAACAGACTCTGGATTTCTTTGAGAACTGTTTAATTAAATTTCACCCCATATGCTTTCCTTAACCATAGGTCAAGGATTTAAATAACAGACCTCACCACAGTCAACTGTAGTATAAAACTTTGCATTAACTTAAGTATCTGACAAATACTCTCACACACACTCATGACATAACATGAGTTGAAGTAGTGGCAGGTGTTGTGTACTCTCTTCTCCTTTTCCTGCCACAAGTGTTAGGCTCTGGATGATAATTTCCAGCCTCAAGAGGGAAATTCAACACTGCTTTCTGACCCCTCATTCTGAAGGCAGCACAATCATAAGCCTTAGCAGCATCAATCTCACTCTCAAATGTGCCTAGCCACACCCTACTCCCTTTCTTTCTGGGGTCACGGATCTCTGCAGCAAACTTCCCCCATGGCCTTCTCCTCACCCCTCTGTAACGTCTTGCTTCCTTTTTCTCTGACACCATTGCTTCTGCGAAAAAGGAATTCTGGGGTGGACTTGTAGCAGTAGAGTTTTGGATTTGGACCTCATGCACTTCTGTGTCTGCTTCAAGATCAAAGCATTCTAGAAACGTGCAGAAGCTGCTTTGCTCTGGGAAGTTTGCACCCAAATCAAGGTCTGATGATGAGGGGTCTTCAAGTTTTACAGGAATGAGATTGTTGAGAAAAGGGTCTGAAACATCCCCTAAGAGATATTGGCGCAACAGTTTCAAAGTTGTGGTTTCTTCTTCTGTGGCCATCTTTGAGAAGTTTTGGAAGCAGTTGATGCAGAAAAAGAATAGCAATTGAGAGATATATAGAGAGAGAGTTAAAGACATGTCTGTCACTTGTGATGTGGGATACATCAGAATTGATGATGTAGCTACGTTTGTCTAGTTGATGAATGGAGCCTTACACGGCTTTCACTCTGGAATTACATAATCTTATCCAAATTAAATGGTCTTCTGTGGTACCCCACATTGAAGCAACAAAACGTTCGTGTGTATTAAAAACCTTTGATGCAAGAAAATGTCCGGGTATATGAAGAAAAAAAAACGTTTGAAAAGTGGATCTCTTAAATGAATTTTCGTAATTTGAGAAATTAGTCCTTAGTTTTCAAACAAAAAGATACCTAGACAACTAAAAATAAGTATGAGAAAACATTTGTTGAGAAAACTCTCATTCTCTTAAAATGGATTTCCGTAATTCCCAGAGTAGTATTTGATTCTCGATCTGAAAATACCATGAACAACCAAAAAGTTAAAAAAATATTTATTAATAAGATTCTCAACTTGATCTTTGGCTGTTAGCAATATAGCTGTTTTGTACAGGGTGCAAATAAATGAAGTAAAGAAATAGGGACAAGACTTTGGCAACTTGTAATGCAAAGAGTCAACAAGTTGCTTTTGTTTAAGATCTTGCTGATTAGTATACATTGCATTGCAATTTGCAAGCTAGAAAAAAGGTTGGTGCTTTAATGATATGGTTATAGTACATTTGGACACTCATCTCCAACTTGATTTTGACAAACCACATCAAACCACCCTCTTAGTCTTAGATGTATAATTCATACACTTGCACAGTGGTTTAGCCAAAACCAACAAAGCAAAAAAGAGAAGTCACGGGTCTTCCCTCTAAAAATTGACAAATATTTTTTTTTTTTAATTTTCCTTTTTGGCGAAGATATATTAGTAATGTGCAAATGTGGCTGCAACTAGTATATCAGTAATAGACACAAGTCAATGGCGCTGTCTCACTTCGCCTAAAACACTTATTTTTTTTTTTTTTATTTTAATTCCTGATATGAATATAATCCATTCCTTTTAATTTTTTTCTAATTAAAAAAAAATATGTAAATAAGTAAATATAGAATCTTACTTTCTAAGCACAAAAGTTTATGATGCAAACACTGCTCATTTCTTTCATCAAGTTTCTCTATAAGAGTAAAGGTATACTAACGACCTTTTTCCATTTGTTTTCTTGCTTATAGAAGCGAGTGCATCACCTTTAAATTTATCACTACATTTTTGCAACTTCTCGTCAGTATTTTGGATTCACAAGGATAATTAACGAGTGATTTTTCTTCGTTATTTTTTCACATTTTAAAATGTGCAATCACTTGGATTGGTGAGCATAATTGGACTCTTCTAAAATTAGTTTCTATGATGAAAAAGTAATTATGCATCTATGACCTAAAATTAATTAATGTTATCAAGTAGTCCTACTTTAATTCATATTAATAACAAATATAACATTACCTTTTCAATTTATACATTTACTCATTGAATGAACCACACCCCCAACATTATATTAATGCAAAATATATATATATATAACAACCCCACACATATATATTATAGACATATTCACGTCATATTTCAAATTTAACAATTACGAAATATAATTTTTATTAATCAAATGTTATTTTATAACAGACAAAAGTTGAATTAAAAACACAAGTTAACCTCGTGTCAACCATTTTTCTTTTTAATTTGCTGAAATAATTCAATATCCTCTCTCTCTCTCTCTAGATATATATATATATAGAGAGAGAGAGGGGGGGAGAGAGGCAGATAAGGGATACGTTTACTCTAGGAGTAAGTTTACCTAAATCCTAAACCTGGACTTACTCCATTTAATAACTCATATTCTACATCAAAAGAGGGATTCTTTTATTCCAGGAGTAAGTCTACCTAGACTTATTCCGTTCAATAACTCAAGTTCTACATCAAATTTCAACGATCCAGCTATTTAATTTAAAGTTCTTAATGCATAGATCAAATATGAAAGTTTTTAAAAAATTTGAAAATCATTTGATACTCCGTTTCATTAATTCAAATCAATATATAAAATAATTTTATGATTATCTGTCAATTTGAATTAATGAAATGAAGTATCAAATGATTTTCAAATTTTCTAAAAATTTCCAGATTTAATCTATGCATTAAGAACTTTAAATTTAACGGTTAGATTGTTAAAATTTGATGTAGAACATGAGTTATTGAACAGAATAAATTTAGATAGACTTACTCCTAGAATAAAAAGATCTCATATATATATATATATATATATATATAAAGGTAAGAGTTTTGACTTTTCTCTCTCAATTCATTATCTATATTTTCTTTTTTGAGTACAAATTTTACTCACAATCACTAAAAATGTGTTTTTTTTTTCAATTTTAAAATTATAAAAACCATAATAAATAATTATTTAGAATTAAAAAAGATCTTATCAATAAAAAAGTTTAAATTAATCCTTATTTAAATTTATTCATGTCATTTTATTTATTTAAAATATATTAAAGTAATAAAAAAATTCTGAACATTATATAAAAGTTTTAATTTCTTTTTTAATCCTTAATGATAATAAGAAGCTAATTAACAAATTAAAAATTCTTCTTATGTTTCAAATGTTTTATACCAAGTCTTTTTTATTTTATAAAAATAGTAATAAAATACAAAATTTACACATACTAGTTTCATTTATGCCTTTGTATAAAGGCAGTAGCCGTCACCAGAGCATATTAAGAGGCTATTTAAAGCTATAATTTCTATCCAGGTCACAAAGTACACCTACCGTATGGTTACGCCATGACTCTAATCATACCAACTTCCCTATTAAATTCTGATTTTCAGCATGTCAACTTCCCTATTCAAAAAATAGGCAACATCAGCCACCGTATGTTAATGCACCATCCAATTAAAAATGTAAACGAAAAAACAACATAATAAAATCTTGTTATGTTTGCCCTTCAAATGCAAACACATTCTAGGCTATTCTAAAAACAGTTAACCAATTTTTGTATTTCAAAATTTGTAAACATATTCTAGGTGCATAAGGTGTGCATAATTAATAAAATACAAAAAAATGAACAGGTATCAGCTCCCATATGCTAAATAAATTAAATGTTAATGCATCATCTGACTAATCAATGGATATCCATTAAACCTAGATAGAAATCATATTCATATTATTATTATTTATTATATCTTCAGTATCTCTTTGTCAACTCTTTCTTGATCAGAGCCAATAAAACTTGGTTGATTCGTCGATGCAAGAAGTCTAGCCCACATCCTATCCGTCAGCTTCACTGTGTTTTGTCTCTCCGTCACACGCTGCAACATGTTCCATGGTCAGCTCCTATATTATATAATGCCTTGAAAATCACATTATATATGAGAAACGAGGTACAACACAATCTCCACTCTCCAATGACCTAAATTATCAATAATTATATCACCCAAACCCAACATTTGGAAGAGTTGGTCTTTGAGTATAACATCACTTTTTATGTCTATCTCTTACCAATGATGGAGGGAGATAGACACAAAATAATTATGACAAGTTGTTTGTATAATTTTATTGTACATGTATCATTACTTATTTCATATATATTATTCTATTCTACAACCCTTGCTATTTTAGTCTAGGAAGGTTTTCTACTGAATTCTAGTCTGTAAAAAACTAATAAATAACCTGCAAAAGATATATCCAGAAATAATAAGATTGTTAAGAGTAACATAATTTTAGTAAAAACAAGCAATTTACTTGAATTGAATGTGAAGATGTGCTAATAAAATGAACGACTCACAGCAATTGGAATATAAGCTTGTTTACTGTTCACAGGCCCAACTGTGAAGCCAGTATATCCAGCCATAGCTCCATGAACAGCACCATGAGCAAGAAGAGTGCAGTAAATGTTGTCCGAGGCATTACTTGGAATAGCTCGAATCATGTATGTTGGATCTATGAAAGTAACACAAACAAGTTTTATAATGAAAAAAAAAGTAGTGAAGAAATACTCCTTTTGTATTTGATTTCAAAATTTTGCACATATATACTATCATGTTATGACCCACATGATTAAAATATTATATTCTCATATGAATAAATCCTTTTCCTCCCTAACCAATCGTACTCCTCGTATTATAATAATCATAATTCAATAATAATGTTTTAGTGGCTACATGAAAAATGTAATAGCTATAATCAGAAACATTTTTGTGGTAAACTCGTGAGAATACCTATATATTTCATATTCACTGGCATCTTTCGAGACATTGTGAAATGATCCTGCAATAAAAATAAAAAATAAAAAAAAGACCAAGAAACTAAGTGGATACCTTTAAGATGATAAAGATCAAGCATGTCATAATTGATATTTTAACTCGCCAATATATGGATTCTGTTAGCATATATAATTATGGGATCAGTTAGCATATCTTGTATGATCCTGATTTATGCCTTTTATATTCTGATTGAAGATATACAAATGCTATATTAAATATCAATTATGGGAGCAGGAAAAAAGGTGACAATAACTGTATTGTTAGTGTTTTTTTTTTCCAGTCACAAACTATTTTTTTCATTTATTAAATATGAGAATGTTTTTCTCAGGCTTTTAAACTTGTTTATTACCTGATTTGTTTCTTGATTTTATAATTTAATATAAGAAAAATAATTTATCCCAAGTTTGTGTATATTTGAATCAATTGTATAACAGTAAAAATATATAAAATAAAAAAACGTGTATGAATTCATGAAATAAAGAGGTGTTTGTGTCTTTTTGTCAACTTCGAGCAGATTTTATCTCACTTGGTGTAGTGAAAGACAGCATACTTATTTGTACATGACCAAAATTAGAGTATGCGTATTTTCCCCTTTTCAAAATGAACACCTCCCAAAAACAAAGTGCTAAAAATAATTTTAAATTTCAAGTAACATGAAGCACCAGTGGTCTAGTGGTAGAATAGTACCCTGCCACGGTACAGACCCGGGTTCAATTCCCGGCTGGTGCAATTTATACTTTTTAATAGCTTTTAATTCCATAGTCCCTAACTCCCTATTAAGTTATTAGAAGAGACTTATATACAAAGACACAAAAACAATTGTAATAAAACTTCTTATTATTTGTATATGATCGTTTGAATTTTCTTGTTAACTGATCCCATAATCATATGCTATATTAAAGCATAAATCAGGATCTAAAAGGATATGCAGGACTTTCTTCGGAGTAGATTTTTTGCTAGGGTCATGAATCTTAAAAGTTCTGAAATCAGCTTTTCAAACGATCACCAATTTTATGTAGTCTTTTAAGTCCAGTGAATTTAAAGTGTCTATAAATACAAGTTAAAATACAGCTATTCAAATATAATACAAATCTATAACAGTGAAGAAAACACAAGAGAAGGAAAAATAATGCAGCATACCTTGATCTTATCAGATAACCATGGACCAACATCAAGAAGTAGCTTGTTCCCTGATGCATCCTTTTTATCTGCTGCATGCACTTCTGCAGCAACATATTCCTGACCAGTTCCTTCTGCTACCACAATAACTAAATGTCCATTTTCTTTTAGCCTCTGTTCAATAAACTCAAAAAGCCCACCTCTCCCTTCCAAATAAAAGGGAGACTCTGGAATCAAGCAGCAATCCTATTACAACTCTAGTTATTAGTAGGCATTTCTATTCCTCTCTTAATGTTCAGATAAAAAAAAAAAAGTATCAATCAATGCAAATAAGAGTTTCATGATGAACTCCTTTCAATCATTTAAAATATCTTTAACATCATAAAAGAGGTTTGAACAGTCATTTACCACAGAAAATGAAATTAAAAAATATATATTTTCTGAAATTAGAAACACGTCATAGGGAGTCAACTGAGATATTTGATGAAATATTTGTCTAAAATGGGAGTTAGGTAGCTGCTGAAAGAGGGGGGGGGGGG